GCCCCCTAGTCTGTCCTCAGAAGGGGCCGGGACTGACCAAAGCTCTTACCTTCCACAGCGTCTGTTCCTCATGCACATCCTGCCCAAGGATGTGCCCAGCTGCGGTCTGGGGCTCCCTGTCACAGTCACCTCATCTTTAGGCTTGTGAAATGTTTCTGTTAGAATCCATTTGTGTTATTTGTGGCAGAAATTTCATGTCATGATACACTGTGGAAAGAAGTAAAAGTGACTGAGAGGAAACATATATTCTTTCCCCTGTCAAATTACCTGAATTTCAAAATAGTTCCACAACACGACAATGTGATCTATTCCCTCTTGTTAGCTGATCAGACCGAACCCAAAAGGCTCCAGTATAATAAACTTCCTTCTTATGTACCAGCAATTTTGTTACCAACAGCTAGTTGACTGAGCCCTAAAAGACCCAGGGTTAAGAAAGGACCCATGATCTTGCTGTTACGAGAATGTATAATGTACTTTCTAAATTCAGAAAGTCAGTGGCATTGCTGGGCAGTGTTGCTTTAGTAAAATATAGTGACTCATCTTTCAGAAATTGACAAACTATACCCAAAGATTTGCTTACTCCAAAACCTTCTAATTGACAGCCAGACAACAAGTGATCTTCAGAAAAATCCAAGAAATCAAATTTTCTCTATGCCTGCTTCCTACGGATGACTTCGATTTTCTTGCTGATCACTTTTGTAACAGTTTATATATGTACACACACATACACACACACACAGACACACACACACGTCTAGATAATACACAAAAGGACACATACGTATTAAAACAAAGTCTTCAGCATGACCTGTAATTCACTGGTAACATGTAGCGGAATGTTCATGAATCTATGGATATTTGTTACTATGTTCGTCGCAGTGACAGAAAAGGGAAGAAAAACCCACAATCAACCTGGTTTAGTTTTTTTCTACATGCTAATAGAATTCCGAGAAAGATTTAAGATTTTGAAAAATATCAGTAATGAAAAACAAAACTAGTAAAAAAGTGACTTCTAGACACTGTACACTTGAAACATCAAAGCAATATGTCCTTCTGAATTTGTGGGTAGGGATGCGCTTCAGTGAAGGGTTGGCAGCAGTTTTACTTTATGACTGTTAAGCAAAGGCATTGAATTTGATGGAGAAAGTTAAAATTGGCAGAAATATCAAGATGAGCAGAAATACGGCAGGGGCCAGTGCCTCCTCACTCCCACTTCAGGCACCTATGGGGCACTCTCAGTAACCAAGAGGAGCTTGCAGAGAGCCTACAGGAGACGTACTGCATACACCCTGTTTTATTGCTTGTCAAATGACCAAAGGGAGAAATTATATCATTTTTCGTTAGGGAGCATATATTTGATGACAATATATATTCAGGAATGTGTTAAAGAATTGCAGTAAAAATAACCTTAGCATATCAATGCTGAGCAAGATATAAAAGTACTGCAGTATGCCATATATTAGTTAGCATATAAAAGGGCCACGCAAAATGAAATTTTTTGAGTATATTTTTGGATTTTTTACTAGAAATTTAAGTACACTTACTACTCTGCTATGCTAGTTTAATAAGACAGCACAAAAGGCAATTTACTCAAATAATTGTATATTAGGTTATTTTGAAGTCCAGACATCTAAGTTGGTAAGTATTCTTCACATATCAAATGTTGATCATTTATATATTTAATGCTCTTTTGAGAATTAATTTATGTAAAAAGCAGCTCTTTGCATAATGAATTATAAATTTTAAGAGTTGTATAACCTGTAGCTGTAACATGATGAAATAGTATTAAATGACGTGTCAGAGTTATATGCATAATATCATACTCACTTTTGCTAGTTAATAAATATCATGAAGTTCTCATTGGATGAGAGTGTATTACAAAGAGGTCTTCTAATTTCACTATCCCATCAATCTCTCTACGTGCATACAAATGTTATTAAAATACTCTGTAGAACAAAAACTCATATCATGCAGGGAATCAGAATGAAGCCATTAATTAAAGTCAGAAACCAAGCTTCCAAATGATCACTCAAGGCTCAGATTATGTAAAATTCCTCACTGTATGTTTTGAGTATGTGATATTTAATATGCGCAACCGCTGTTTAAGACCTTCAGTTTAGAAAACTGCAATCATTTCATTTTAAAGCCCTCACAATATATAAAATGATATATACACACTGTATTTACTCTTTCAGACATAATTATTCTCAGCTGATATGACCAAGATTCAGGAACTCTCTTATTTTTTGAGACCCTCTCCATAAGTCACCTAGGCTAGAGTACAGTGGCATGATCAGACCCACTGCAACCTCCGCTTGCCAGGTTCAAGCAATTCTCATGCCTCAGCCTCCCTAGTAGCTGGGACTATAGGCATGTACCACCACGCCCAGCTAATTTTTGTGTTTTTAGCATAGATGTTTTTAGTATCACCATGTTGGCCAGGTTGGTCTTGAACTCCTGGCCTCGAGTGATCCACCCACCTTGGCCTCTTAAAGTGCTGGATTTACAAGTGCCCAGCCCATGTCTCTTGAATGACTTTATAAACTTTATTGTTTTAAAATATTTGTTAAGAAAATCATTAGTAGGGCAGTGCAAATACATAGATTTTATTACATGTTACCACTCTAGTTTCAGTTTCCATATAGAGAAATACGTGTTCTAATCATTAAAGTTGTCCAGAATAAAATGTAAAATGCATTCAAAAATATTTAGGGCACTATAAATTGTTGGATGGATATGGCCATTACTATATTTAGCATTTGATCTGTAAAACTGATGCTGTCACTAAGTATTTTGTTTAGTTTTTGACTTGAGGTCAAAATATGCTCAAAATATTTGTAAATGAATATATTTCTCAAGCCTTTATTAAGTTTCTATAGCTGTTATCCTTGTACTCGACTTTGATTTGTCCAAATCCCTTCTCTTATATTTAAAATCTAGGAATTCTCCTATGTTAATAGTAAAGGCCAATTGCTTTGGAAAGCATTTTTTAACCTCTCTGGCTGTATTGCATAAATTGATTCAATATGTATTTTCTGAGAAGCTACTTTGTATTTGATTCTATGACCATGCTATGTACTCTTTTTCTGCCCTTCGTTAGCATGTTTTCCTTAGGAAGCATGTACTTTTTACCTCCAGCTACTTACTAAAGCACATCTCATCTCTTACTTTAGTATATAAGCTCTTGAAAGCCAGACTATGTTTGACTTATGTTTCTATTTGCTACAACATCTTTTTCAGTACTTCACAATGAGTACTTAATAGAAAGCTCCTGAATGTATGAATGAATTAATATATGAATGTGATTTCTTAGCTTAATTTTCTATGATATTTTTGCCTCCAAGCAATGTTCTGTTTTTACACATTCTCTGACATATTATAGTAACACTCTTAATATATATATTAGCCTCATGAAATATAAAATATTTCTTTACTATGTCACTGTTTTAATTAAAATAAGTTTTTCTTCTATCTTTCTGACAATATTCTTTGTTCAAGCAATACCATGTTCCAGGATTTTCTTTCTTGGGCTACCCTTTAAATGTTTATATTTCTTAGGATTTTATCTTTGAAATTTCTTTTCTTTCTCCATAATTTTCTCTGAAGGGTTTCACCCATTTCCATGGCCCTACTACATTTATTTGAGAATGAATTTCAAGTCTCTTAATTCAAATCCAGATTCTCTCTTACTCTTATATCTGCTTATCCAACTACATATGATACAGAATCACTTAGCTAACCTAAGGACGCTACTATTCAGGATGTCCAAATGTGAGCTTATCATCTCTGCCTATCCCTCCTTTCCGATTGCTCTTCCTTCTTTTTTCTGAGACAAAGTATCGCTCTGATACTAGGCTGGAGTGTAGTGACGCAATCGCGGCTCACTGCAACCTCCACTTCGTGGTTCAAGTGATTCTTCTGCCTCAGCCTCCTGAGTAGCTGGGACAACAGGCGTGTGCCACCACACGCAGCTGATTGTTGTATTTTTAGTACAGACTGGGTTTCATCACGTTGTCCAGAATGGTCTTGATCTCTTGACCTGGTGATTCCCCCGCCTTGGCCTCCCAAAGAGCTGGGATTACAGGCGTGAGCCACCGCGCCTGGCCGCTCTTCCTTTTTTAAATATCTCACAGGGAATGTCCAAACACACCCATTACTCACCCAGGACAGATTTCTGGGTACTCTTTCTAACTCTGCCTTTTCCTTCTCATACCCCTAATGCGATTGTCAATGTATCTCCGCAATCCACTTACCTCACTGTACTCTTAATGTTATTTTACTACTTAAAGCTATTATCTTCTCAAGTTAAGCTATTATCATCTCCTTCAAAGTTCATTAATGTCTGCCAACTACACTATTGCTTTTTTTGTATTACAGACCTTGCTTCCTTACCCATTCACCATTCTAGAGCCTAAGGCATTTTCAAAAAGTCAAATCTGATTATGAAGCTCTTCTGCTTGAAGGCCAGTGTTCCTACAGTGCTTAAAACAGAGTACAACTCCTTTTGCATGCCTTCCAAGGTCCTATGTGATCTACCCACTTACTTCTCAGATTTCTAACTCACAAATTCTCCCAGCTATGGTCATAATTCCTCTTAGTGGCTGGAATACATCCTCTTCTCCCATAGCTACATCTGGGACCCTGCCTTCTCCAGTCTCCACTCCCCCACCCCACCCAATAGTGATGGTGAACTATTTTCTCTCCATCTTTCAGATCTAAACCCCTTATCACTCTTTCAGAGCTAAACCCCAGAAAGAGAAAGTACTCTTAAGTACTTTCTGGGTACACTGGTTTCCTTTATCACAGCATTTGTAAACATAGCTGAGGTTCTTAAAACTACTCCCTGTTTTTCCATTTCATCCAACGACTTCCATAGCTGAGAATATTCGTACTCAAATGTCCCATGCTGGGCAAAACGAGGAGGAGTTTTTCTCTCCTTTTGATACAATGGATTCTTCTGCGCAAGTTTTTCAGGAAGACCATCTTCATCATCTAGGTGTTCGAGTGGTTCCATGATGACTGGACGAGGAGTTGCTGTCAGCAAGAAAACACCTTCACTACATCGTTCAAATGCCTTTCTTGCTGCTGGTTTAGAAGAACAAGTTGAAAAAAACATGAAGGATGCAAAAGACAAACTGGAAAGTGAAATGGAAGATGCCTATCATGAACATCAGGCAAATCTTTTGCGACAAGATCTGATGAGACGACAGGAAGAATTAAGACGCGTGGTAGAACTTCATAATCAAGAAATGCAGAAACATATAGAAATGCAATTGAGGCAAGAGGAGGAACGACGTAGAAGAGAGGAAGAGATGATGATTCGTCAGCCTGAGATGGAAGAACAAATGAGGCGCCAAAGAGAGGAAAGTTATAGCTGAATGGGCTACATGGATCCAAGAGAAAGAGACATGAGAATGGGTGGCAGAGGAGCAATGAACATGGGAGATCCCTATGGTTCAGGAGGCAAGAAATTTCCACCTCTAGGTGGTGGTGGTGGCATAGGTTATGAAGCTAATCCTGGCGTTCCACCAGCAACCATGAATGGTTCCATGATGGGAAGTGACATGCGTACTGAGCGCTTTGGGCAGGGAGTTGCGGGGCTTGTAGGTGGACAGGGTCCCAGAGGAATGGGGCCTGGAACTCCAGCAGGATATGGTAGAGGGAGAGAAGAGTACAAAGGTCCAAACAAAAAGCCCCGATTTTAGATGTGATATCTAGGCTTTCATTCCAGTTTGTTTTTGTCTTTTGTTTAGATACTAATCTTTTAAATTATTGCATTTTAGTAAGAAAGCTACCTTTTTATGGATGTTAGTAGTTTATTGACCTAATATTTGTAAATGGTCTGTTTGGGCAGGTAAAATTATGTAATGCAGTTGTTTGAAACAGGAGAATTTTTTTTTTCTCACTTCCTTATTTTTTCTTTTTTTACTTGAAGTATAATGTCCTTCAAGTTATGGCAGTGTACCTTGTGCCACTGAATTTCCAAAGTGTACTAATTTTTTTTTACTGTGCTTCAAATAAATAGAAAAATAGTTATTAAAAAAAACTACTTCCTGTCCATTATTACCCTTATTTATAAACTCTTCTAATCTTATTTCTGACTTTTATATTTACCTCATGATTTTTTTTCTCTTAAAACACTTCCTGGCACTTCGTGGTATTAACACTTCATTATATTTGTAAGTACCATTGTATAGTTATTTGCTCACTCACTGTTTATGTATAGATATCTTATTTCCCATCCTTTAAAAACAGATTTTATGTGAACAGACTCTCATACACTGTTAATTATCTGTTGTGATTAGCATGAAATGTATTTGTTTATAATTTCAGGACTCCACTATTTTAACATTTTAGAAAAGGGTATCCTTAAAATAATGATGGATATTCCAAGTGAAGAAATGGCCTTGCACTTCTGCTGCAGAGTTTTATTAGATATCAAGAATAAATTTTAATTGTAGGGTAATTTTAACTTCTCAAGTTAATCCATTGTAGAATTTAGAGTCTCTATTGATGGATTTTAAAATATAATTAATCTTATGCAATGAAAGAAGCTTTGTTCATTTCCCTGAGACAAATTCATGATCATTTGCTTTACCTCTAGGCATTTTATAGTATGATCTTATGCAGTTATATAGATTCAGAATAATTCACACTTTAGCATGGCTAAACATGATTTAAAGTGGACATTCACATGGTATTTCCTTTAATAGTTTAGAGCAAACCTCTATTGTTTTGAATAATTCAATGATTCTTTTTTCTTCTTCTTTCCAGAAGAAAAATAAGGGAGGTGATTCAAGCTGACTTAGACTAGGCATTTCCAATTGACAGCTGCAACCTTGTATAACTAAATCCATCAGAAGTATCCTGTTATGGATACAGTGCTGAATGTTTCATTTCCTTCTTTGTAAAAAAGGTCAGTGTGTCCAATTCATAGTATCTTAGATCCCAAGGGAGGTTTGTAATGTTATTCTCCATCTAGTAAAATGAATTAAAACTGTTTATTGAAACATAGTACAGGGGCTCAACCTTTTTTGGCTTCTTAGAAATCATTATATGGAGACAGAATAGGGAAATGCCTATTAAGCCAAAAGTAACTAGAACACATCTGTCAGGTTTACACATTTTACATTTTATCTTTCCTAATATATATGGATTTGAAACTACTCAGGGAGAAGACAGAAAAGTAAAATACCTTTATCCTGATTCACTAACTGAATACTATATAAAAGTGATGTAACTAATACATATACATAGAATAAAAATTATATCTTAATAAATTTCTGAATTGACTGTATTTGATAAGACATGGTTAAATCTAAAGAGTTGCATTGACAGATGATATTCATTTTAAGCCAAGAAAGATATGTAAATTCTATAATAGCAAACTCTTAAAACAAAAATCATCCTTTTTAAAAACATAAAATCAATCACAAGAACATGAAGAAAGTTTTAAGGTGTCTTTGTTATGTATACATGAAACACTCAAAGTCAAAACACTATTTTAAACTTGTAAGAAAAATCAGGACAAAAGAAATACTGTTTTGAATCTCTACAGAGGGGATTCAGGAGGATCAAGATCACAAAAATAACTGAAGGCGACATTGCTGAGATAAAATCAGCATTATGCCCTGAAAAGCAGCAGTGCCCTTGAAAACACAACTTGGATTAGCTGTAACTATTGCAGAGTGAATAACATAATCTTGAAAAGAAGCTATAGGTATATATCTTATATAAATATCTGAAATATGCCCTTATAGGAAAGTTGGTTATAATGGAGTGTTATCAACCTGTGAGGCTAAAAATGCAGTCCATGTAGAGCAACAGAAATATGCTTCTCAGAAACTATCTCTTCACTTTTTTATAATAAGAATGACTAAGGAAGAGGAATTGGGAAAAAATAAATTTCTAAAACTTCCCCTAAACTAGGATTATTATATCTGGTCTAATCAATCTGATAGCCCTTATAAAATTTTGGCATGTTAAAATGGAAAAACATGTGATATTTTATTTTCTCCAAGGACATCTTTTATCTTCATTTTTAAAAACAAAGTTTCAGTGTTTCACTTGTGCTATACATTTCTCAATTAAGTTTTTTTTCCTAATGCTCTAAATTAGTTGATGTTACCTTACATGGTCTGTATTTTTTTTGCAGCACAGAGATTAATAGCCAGAAATTAGAAGACTTATCATGTTTTAGACAAAATTCTAAGTACTCCACAGGCAATTTGAGTCCAGTGCCCCCAATCTTAAATACCATGCTGTAAATGTCATTGCTTGTTTGGGATTTGTGGTTTCTCCCATTTTTGTGATACATATTCTGCACAAATCATGAGGCTTGTTCAAGAATAAAAGTCATTTCGTTTGGGAGTGAACCTAGAGTTCAAAGAGAAATTTTTTCTGTTGCTCTGCTTCTTATTAAGCATATGGGAGTTCCCATGACCTGATAAATTGTTGTTTTCACTTTGTGTAGGATGGCTCGGGCAAGAGAAATAACTGCATTTGTTGCTAGTGCAAATTTTCAAAAAAAGCAAAGAGGTCAGAGAAGTGATTATTTCTAGCTAAAACGGTTTTGTATTTTAAAATAATGAGCTGTCTGAAGACTTTTTTAGCCTTTATATTTTATCACATTTTATGGAAGGTAAAATGAACCATAAGTGGCATTTGAAAATGTTGTGAAACTTGGAGGTCTTATTGTTATCAAGGTTATTCTTCCTCAAGCCATTTTCTATTTACTCTCAAGCAAGTCATGTCAAGCTCTGCTTTTTTGCTTTTGTCATCATCATTTGAATCTTCCAGTGTCCTTCAATTTTTCACATCCTAGCTATCTTCAATTCCCAAGTTTAATGCCCTGTGCTTTAGACAAGATAACTTCTATGGCTATGGATCTCTTCATTTTTAAGTAAGACCTCTTTCTCTGAATATTCATTATAACAATTGTTACTTCTTGTTTATTAAAACATTCCTGTAATCCCAGAACTTTGGGAAACCTGGTATTAGGAGTTTGAGACCAGTCTGGCCAACATGGTAAAACCCTGTCTCTACTAAAAATACAAAAATTAGATGGGCGTAGTGGCAGGTTCCTGTAACCCCAGCTACTCAGGAAGCTGAGGCAGCACAATCACTTGAACCTGGGGGGCAGAGGTTGCAGTGAGCCTAGGTCATGCCACTGCACTCCAACATGGGCAACAAGAATGAGATTTCATCTCAAAAACAAACACAACAACAAGAAACAGTTACCGTGTGTGTGTGTGTGTGTGTGTGCGCGCGCGCACACGCACATATCATTCTGTATTTTCTATTTTCTTCTCCCTCATACTATATATTTTTTCTTCTACTCAACGGGTTGAGATATTGCTGGTAAACTATAAATGTTTTCAACTGATTGATTTATAATACAAGTAGAACTTGAGTTATCCATTTTAGTGAATTATATTTCAGTGAGTCAAAATGAATTGTATCAAAGTCAAAGGAACTTTCACTTTAAATTCAACATGGTCTTCATATTCAACAAGAGCTTTGCCTTGACCTTTCCTTGTAATTGCCTGAAGATGTGCTCAGTGATTACATGGTTCACTCCGAGGCATTCTACCTTGGGGGTCTCATAAATCATGGATGTTCAGAATACAGCACTACAAAAATAAAAGCTTGCCACTTTGTTGTTTTTTTTTTTTTTAAGTATAGCGACTGAGTGATTCTGCCCCAGATTGGAGTGGCTAGGCTTCTGTGAGCAGTGTATATTAGGTCACAGAATGAGGAGGAAGCAGGACCAAGCGGAAACTAGATTATGACAGTGGACCTGGCAGTAGGAGGGAGATTAAGATGGTGGCTACCTAGGCTGGGCCCTAGGAGACAGATGAACGATGTGAGTAGTACTAAGGCCTGATTTCTAGACCTGAAAACACTTAACTGATTCTGCAGCCATCAGGCAAGCGTAATGAAGTAGCTTGAAATTCAGTATTAGCTAACTAATCCAGGGCAACTGATTAACTAGGCAAGTGTGACAGAACCCTGATGAGGACTGGCGGTAGGGAGGGAGGCATGGCTCGATTCTGGCAGGATATGTAAGTCCTGGCTTATAGTTCCTGAAGAGAGAGGGGAAAATGAAAACTAACCCCTTGTCTTAGCCAGGTATCTCCCCAGGAAGCAGAGCCTGAGACCACCTGGTAATTTACTTTTGGGAAGTGACTTTTGGAACAAGAGTGGAGTAGAGCAGAGGAGAGAAAACCAATACAAGGATGTATATTCCGTTGGTCACTGCTTTTGGCAAGTGGGTCTCAATCCTACAAACATCTTTGGAGGAGCCTCAGAATTGTCTCCTAGTGGTATGAAGAAGGTGATAATTTATCCATGACTTTCATTTGTCTTTCCAGGGCATTTCTATTGGGCACATTTTTACATCTTCGCTCTCCAGTGACTCAAGAGAAGTCCCAAGGTGATAATATAAAATATTTGATACTAATGTGTCAAAATTCTATCACCTTATATTAGCATGGTTTCGGAGGATATGAGAGAGGTATATGAGGTTAATTATTCATAAGGAAACTTAAAAGAATAAATAAAAGACCAATTTAAAGATTAAGCCAGTGTCAGGAATCTATACAAAATAGGGACATGGCAGAGAAAAAAGAAGATTTTGAGGCTGGATAGAATGTGAGTAGTATGTAGAGTTCTAAAATGACGTCCAAACTTCTGAGTCCCTGGA